CGGCACGCCCCGCTCGGTGGCCCCTGCGGCGGGGCCGCCCGCTCCACCAGAGGCAGGGCGGCGGAGTGGCGGGCCTCTGCTCGTGCGGCTCCGCGTCTCGCCGTCGCTCGGCCGTCCATCTCCCGTGTGTCCTTTCGAACCTCGTCCGTGTCTGCTTCCAAAGCGAGCCAGGATGCTCCACAGTGATCCCCGACAGGGAACACATGCACACGTCCGAGCGGTGCCAAGGTCGAAGGCGCCCCGTGGCGCGGCGCCCGCGCGGGAGAGCCGCCTCCGGCCAGGCAGTGCGCGGCACAGGAGAGGCCTCTTCGGGCGCCGCCGGTCCCCCGCCTCGCGCTGCCCCGCCCGCGGGGGAGCTCCCCGCCGCGACTCGCGCCGTGCGCCGCGGGCCCCCCGGGCCCCCATTGTCGGCGCTGCCGCGCGCCTCTCCACGGGTGACGTTGAAAAAGAGCTCTGCCATGCGCACGTCCCCAATCATCGGGCGTCTCGGACAAATCGAGACGGATATTTTTCGTTGTTTTCGGCCGCCCAGGGCCCTCGTCGGGCCTCGGGACCGTCCGATAACGACTCGGGATGACAAGCCGGTCCTGGGGAAGCGGTGGGGAGGTGTGGGACCCGTGTCTCGAAAAAGTCGTGCCAGGGTCCCTCCCCCCTAGGGGATGCTCCTGAGTCCCATGGGGCACGCGAACGGACCGGGCACCGACTCCAGCGGGCCTCTGCGGCTTCCCCGAGGGGCAAGCGCCGCCCGCAGGGAGCTCTCCGTCTTCCGCCGCTCGCATTCCCTGCTTGCTGCTCACCTCCTTCTCACCCTCCTGCCCCCTCCCGCTCCCGTTTCTGTTCCTGCTGCTTGCGTGGTGCTGCTCCTCCTTCTCCTGCCCCTGCTCTTGACCCTCCTTCTTGTCCTTCTCCCTCTTCTCCTCCTGGTCGGCGGCCGCCAGCATTCGGACGTTCTCTCCCGAACCCTACCTTCTCTCGCGTACTTGTGTCCCTCTCCCTTAAGTACTCCAGATTTCGTAATAAAGGGGGGTCTCATTTCGGGGGGGGTCTCTTCCAGGCTATCTTGGAGGGCCTGGGGGGGTCTGGGGACGATGTTTTGGAGGGTTCTCCCACGGGGGGGGGTCTAAAACTTCTCTTCTGGGAGGGTTGAGACCCCCTCCCTTTTATTACGAAATCTGGAGTATACTCCCCGCCTCTGCTCGCTTTCAAACTGTCTCTCGCCTTCCCGTGCCACGACCGACGGGGACGTGAGAGCCCTGGCCGGCCCTGCCCAGGCCTGCCTGGTGGGCCTTCTCCTGCCCTGGCCTCCCTCTTGGCTTTGCTCTCTTGGCGGCCTCCCTGCCCTGGCCTCCCTGGCCTCCCTGCCCAGCCCTGGCCTCCCTCTTGGCCTACCCTGCCCAGGCCTTGGGACCCCGTGCCACCAGCCCTGGCTTCCCTGGCCGCCCCCTCCAGCGCTTCTTTTCGTGTCGCGTGGTCGTCCCGGGCGACCCTGCCCTGGCCTCCCTGGTGGCCTGCCCGCGTGTCGCAGCACGTGCGCACTTTCCCAATGCTGGCAGAGCCTGGCGCCGAGATAATTGCCGAGACGGACTGCCCGTCGGCCGTGTCGTCGGAATGCAGCCGGGGCCCTCGGCGACAAAGTACGAGCCGTGACGATCAGGGTCCGCCCCGTCGGCCCGGAGACGTGCCGAACCCAGCGGTTGGCAGAAGTCGACGCGGGCCGGCATCTTGCGCAGGTCCCGCGGGCACGCCTGTTTCGCGCCTCTGGACCGGGCCTCTCGGAGCACAGACGAGCCTCATAAGCGAGGGCCCCGAGAAGGGTGCTGTGCACCGCGTGGGGACACTCGAGGGGGCAGCGCGACCCCAGCGGCCTCAGCGGGCAGCTGCGGGAGGAGGCAACTTGCGAGAGGGCTGACTGCACATCCAGGCGCCGCCCCGCTTGCGCCAAATGTACTTCGAGGAGGGGAAGGACGAAGTCGACGAAGGGAAACAAAAAGAAGAAGGAAGAGGAGCAGTAGGAGGAGTAAGAGGAGGAGGAGGAGGAGGAGGAGGAGGAGGAGGAGGAGGAGGAGGAGGAGGAGGAGGAGGAGGAGGAGGAGGAGGAGGAAGATAAACCCAAGACCCATCAACATTGCAATAGACCCTGCCCAGAAATCCCACCAGCCCTCTGGGCGTCGGTGGTTTAGAGAGTTTCCTCATCCACCCCTCCTTCTTCCCCTTCGGGGAAGGGTTTGCCCCTCCCCCTACCCCCTCCCCATGGACCTGGACAAAGGGTTCCGCGAGGTGTCGGAGCGTCCAAAACGGCCTCGGCGAGGAAGCAACAATCATTGGTTTTACTAGGGCTTTGGCCTCATTTTGGTCCCTGGGGGGGGGGCGTAATCAAGGACCCCCCCCTTCGTTGACCGATAACATCCAAGATGGTCCCAAGAGAGCCCCTAAAGCTTCCAAGAACGCCCCGACAAGGCCCCCAAAGGAGCCCAGCCAGGCCCAAGAGGCGCCCAGGAGG